TTGGCAATCTGTATATCTTCTTTGGAGAAATGTCTATTTAGGTCTTCTGCCCGTTTTTGGATTGGGTTGTTTGTTTTTTTGATATTGAGCTGCATGAGCTGCTTGTAAATTTTGGAGATTAATCATTTGTCAGTTGCTTCATTTGCAAATATCTTCTCCCATTCTGAGGGTTGTCTTTTCGTCTTGTTTATGTTTTCCTTTGCTATTTTATTTTATTTTATTTTTATTTTTTTGGCTGCACCACACAGCTTGCAGGATCTCGGTTCCCTGGCCAGGGATTGAACCCAGGCGACACAGCAGTGAAAGCCTGGAATCCTAGCCACTAGGCCACCAGGGAACTCCCCAGGAGGTTATATTTTAGATAAAAGGGTCAGATATGACCTCTCTAAGAAGGCAATGTTTTGGGAATCCCCTGGCTGTCCAGTGGTTAGGACTTGATGTTCCTACTGCAGGGGCCCGGGGTTTGATCCCTGGTCAGGGAACTAAGGAACTAAGATCCCGAAAGCTTCTTGGTGAGGGGGGTGGGGGGGAAGAAGAAGGCAATGTTTTTCCAGACACCTGAATGAGTAAGGGAACAAGTAGGCAAAGATTTCTAGGAAGAAATTTCCAGGAGGAAGTAACAGTGAGTGCAAAGGCCCTGACGCAGGAATGCATTTGGTTTATTCTTGGAATAGAACAATGGCCATCGTCGGGGGCAGAATGGAGGGGTGGAGGGGGTAATGTACGGGCAGATAGGCTGGGTCAGACCAAGCAGCACCTTGCAGGTTATGATGAGAGTTTACATCTCGAGTGCTATGGAAAGTCACTGGAAGGGGAGATTGACAAGCTGATTGGATTTCAAAGGTATTGCATCTGTCACTGAGGACAGCAGTACTCCCACAGGAGTGACTGTGGGATGAGATTGGAGATCCAGGTGAGCAAATTGATGGGGAAGAATCCCCCACAGCCCATTATGCTTAGATGACGTATGGTATAAATCCAGCAGCGTTTTGACTACATGGTCTTCAACTCCAAATTGTTCTCTCCAAAAGGAGAAAGCTCTACAAACTGGACAGTTATTTTTGCCATGGGTGCAGTTGGTGATAAGAGAGCAGCATCTACTCTCTTTCCCACCTTCTCTCTACATAACCCTGGAACAGGTTGTTTTTGTTTTCTTTTTTGTTTTGGTCTTCCTTTGACTAGCCCTGCCAAATCTAACATTCTTGACACTCATTTCTATGCTGTGCAGGGTATCTGACACATAGGGTCCAATGTGAGTGCCAGCAGTGACTGCAAGATTTTTTGGAGCATCTCTGTTTACTCATAGAACCATCTGAAGACTCTGGGCTGCTATGGAAAATTCATGCTTATCATGAATTCATGTACTTTGTTCAGTCTGTGGGCTGCTGAAATTGATTAGTGTACAAAGGCTGACATCTGGTGGTGAAAATTGGGTATTGTCAGTTCATTTGTTTATGACACCAATTGTCATTCTTGGGGTATTCAAAAATTTTAAACTCTTTCTATTCATGGCTGCCAAAGAAGAGCTTTAGAGTGTCCTGAGGAGTGACACAAGAGGGCACAGCTAAGCAGTATGAGGACTGTGTCCAAATTTCCAAAAATAGGAGCATTTGTGCATGACAAACGAATCGGGTGTGAAAAATGACAGCAGAGGCTGGCCACCCACTGAAGGAGCCAAGGAAATGGAGTGATGTGTCACCCCAGAGCCAGTCCTCATTTAGCCTCTACCTGGCCTGGAAGATCTCATCTCCCCTTTCCTTTCAGTTAAGGCTGATTCTTGTTCCAGGTACAGCTAGAACCCACTTCCCCAGTCCCTTCAGATAAGGCTCCTTGAAATCCTTTAGTTCTCAACATCATCTGTATATCTTGGTCTGGCATATATCTTCCTTTTTCTCTTCTTTTATTTGACTTTTTTCTTTATATTTATTTATCGTGCTTACTCTTGCTATTCAAGTGGTGTGTAAACTTCAGGAGAGGAGGTCAGGAAACAAGTCCTTGACTCTTAGAATCCTTGACACTTTGCCTAATGCCCTGAGAACTCACTCCATAAAGTGACAGTAATACACAGTGGTGGTTGCCAAGAGGTGCGCCTGAGAATGTCTACTGGTGCCCTGAATGCCTCTGGGGAAGGAAGTGGTCAGCATCTGGACCTCCTATTCTGGAGCATATTCAGTTTATCCTCTTTACCCATTAGGTCTCTCTTGAACTAGTCTCATATCTTTACTCACTTTCTCCCCACTGGTTATTAAGCGGCATAAGATGTGTGTATGGTTGTGCAGACTGTGTGCTTCCCAACTCCAGAGAATGCAATTCAAACCATAGACTATGTGAATGATTCTCTCTGGAGTTGGGCAGTGCACAACCTCTTCAGCTGTACACGGCACCACTGAGGAACAGGTAATGACGGGTAATGTGGCGTAGAGGCACTAGCTACAGAACTTCATTTGTGAGATCCTAAACTGTTTATTTTTGGCTCAGTGTCAGCTTCACTCCTTTTCATAGTGAGCACAGTCCTGGAGAACATTCAGCCATTCAGAAAGTAAAATTTAATGTCAGGATGACATGAAACAA